GGTAATGGGGGACAGAGAATATAATGGAGGAGAGAAGAGAGATGGGACAGTCGGTGATCTAATATGCACATAAAACACTTCCTGGTATGTGCAAAGAGAAAATTGAGCCTTGAAGACTCTGAACTAATAGCAGAAATTAGGGAGAAAAAATAAAGAGAAAAGTACATGTCCTTTATCAAATGAAATTGGATTCAGGAATAGGTATAGCCTATTGTAAACCAGTTGAAACTGCATTTGTATGCCTTCTCTCTTGCCTTTGTCAAAAGCATGACATAGATAATGAGCGCTTTTTGACTTAGTGTATTCTAGCATTAAAAAGTATCAGATGCAAATTCTTTAGTGAGAACGTGAAGAATCTGCTGCAACAACAGAGTGAAAATACCTGAAACCTGGTTCTCCATGTTTTTCTGATTTATGCAGGTTAGTTGGAACCAGCTCCAAATGTCTCATCTCCTCCTGGGGAAAGAATCGGTAGGGGAGAAACCCCAGGGATTACTACATGACTCTGCCCTCTGGAAAAGGCTTTTATCAAGATTCCAGACAATGCAATTACTTCTATAAACCAAAATTCTGAAGTTTTTGTAGCAGGGTAGAGTTTTAAATTTAAAGAACTACTCATGCTACATTCTTCCATTTACAAGGTTAATCTGCTTGCCTGTGTTTTTATATTCTTTTAAAAAGAAACAATATTTTGCATGAACTACTAGTCTTTAAAAGCATATAAAAGTTATAGAATACAATAAAATAAGTAACGATAATCAAATATCAAAGTATGTTTCATTTCATAGCTTTCAATTAGCTAACAGATGGGTGTTATTCCACCTTTGACAAATATTTAAAGGGGCTATTTCAGTTATTCTTTGACTAGTATTTTTATAACTGCCCAAAGCTAATTTTAACTTATTTTGGGTTGCCTTAGATTTCTGATTAGCCATAAAGTTTCTTAAGGTAGTGAGGAAATGTGACTTCTTTGGGGAGTGTATCATTGCATCAAAACTTGGCATTCACCTAGGCTAAGAAAAATGTCTGTTTGTTCCCTAGGGAAATGCTTCTAGAAGGTAACTGGTTTTTATGTAGTGTACCTTCCTAAATTAAGGTTTTTAGTTTAGCTTGGCCTGAGGCAAAACGTTTCAGGATATTTTAGGAGATCCTGGTAATCTAATTAATCTTATGAAAATAATACTAAAATTCGTTCTTTATTTCCCTATCCATAAAGTATACGGTGTTCCTTCCCTTACATAGCTCCATCCCTGCACTGTCAGTGGCAGCTGTCAACTGCATCATTAAGGGGGACAAAGACTGGCTCAGTGCCACTCCATGGGGTGGTGGGAACTGATGTCTTGCTCCATCAGAGGCAGAGCAGGCAGGGTAGCCCTCATTGTGGAAAAACTTTCCCAAGACCTGAGGACTTTTCTGAAGAAGAGGTGAATTTGATCGACACCAGCAAGCGTTTGCTTCTCGTCACAGCGGCTAAGGCTGTGATTCTGTAGTTGTCTTCAAAACCTGTGAAGGCAAGATCAAGGAATGGGGGTTTGCAGCCATCAGGGCTCCATATGGAAGGGTCTCAACAGCCTTTCTTTTCCTGGGGACGGGGAGTCAGTAACTGAACTCTGGCTTAGACGATGGACTTCCCGATCTCCTGCCCAGGGAGGGAAAGGCACTGGCAGCTACAGCAGACTGTCACTAATCTAAATACCTTGGGTGAACATCACTGTTCAGATGGTTGGAAGTTGGCTTTTTTGTGAGGTGCTCCCTTGTGCAATATGTATTCTGCAGATACTCCAGAGGTTTTTTCCTCTGAAAGTGGAAATACTGCCACAGCTGTAATAAAAACTATTCAGAATTGCACAAGTAAAACACTGTATGCTTCCTACCTATGCTATGCGGATGTACATTATTTTTATCTCCTTTTTTTTTTTTAATTTAATTCGTATTAAATGTTTGTGTTGATGAGTAGAGCCAGGACTGGAACACCATCCTTTTGAACACGCAATTATTTTGTTTAGTTTGGTTTTTTTTCCTTCTAAAATCCATTCGTGTTTCCAGGTACTGGATGGCAAAATATTTTGATGGCTGTCTTTACAGCATATATCCCTGAATGAATGAGGAAGTAGTAATTTTAGTTAGTACTATATTAAAAAAAATAATAAATGAAGGCAGTGCAGTGAGCCTAGTTTTCCATTTTTATCTGTCATAGATGTAAATAATTCAAACATTTGAGTATGGGAAGAAGTTGACAGTTTGAAACTGGATAAGTCTCATGGGACAATGTTAAAATTTCTTGTGTGCTTTGATTTGACGTTCCTTAGAAAAAGATTGGTTTTGCTGAAGTATAAACTCATTAAAAGTTAATATTGTTTTTAACTGAGCACCCATGCTAAACTAGAATGTTCAGTATTTCATGTGTATGCTTATGTAATTAAGCATCCACTAATTTCTTTCTCTTTGGGAAATACTTTGGCAAATCAACAGTCCATATATGAAGAGTTAAGATCATATCATCTGTTGTTTAAGGTAAGGATAAGGAGAGACATTATTATTATTTTATAATAGATTCTTAATCCTTTGTTCTGTGAAGTGTTGACGTTTTCATTAGAGTTAAAATATGTTGCATGTTTACAGAAAGCCTGAAATCTCAATATGTGGTCCTATCAATTTTAATTATTTGAATCATTAGAACATCTAATTTTTTGCTTAAGGGTACACGAATGTACCATTGAATTTGTTTTTTAAGGTTTTTTCCAGTTTAATGTCTGAATCCAAATTCATAAAGAGTTGGAAAAATGAGATGTCTGAGCTATAGGATTCACAGGGATTTTATATGAAGCCTATTTAATCAGGATAACACTGTTATTAATATTCATAAAGTCAGCTGGAACACAAATGACAGACTATGGGGCCTAAAATTTTTTACTTGTGAATTTATTAAAAGCAGCTTAAAAAATTAATGGAATTTAAGTAAAGTTGACGAAAATGAAAATCTTATGTTAGCAGAAAAAATCTTTATTAGAACTTTCTCTAAGACCATCTTGCATTGATGTCTTTGACAGATTTCATTGGTACTTAAAGAAGAAAGATGCATGAATGGTCATTTAAAAGGATTTAAACACATTGGCACATTAATTTTTACATGAATAATAAGTAGTTTCCAAAAGCAATTAACTTACAGTGTACAAGATTTGAATAGAAAAATAGGACTGTGACATCAAAGGGCAAAGTAAATGTGCTGTACATTTTAAACTTTTAATAATACGACTTCTTAAAATAATTTATTTCATTTCCACAATAGGTAAAATAAGAGTGAAGGTATTTGTGTACGGCTTGGGTTTGTTTTGAAATGCACAGAGATCTGGAACAAAGAAATATTTTGATGCCAAAGCACTATTGGTAAAGAACAATTTCAGGCTTTTACAGTGATCAGGTGCTTCTGAACTGAGCTTTCTTACGGTCTGTTTCTGTGTCTGGAAAATAGTCATATACTGACCACACCATATGATTTTTCTCCCGTGCCGCTATATGCAGAACTGGGAAGCATTTGTTACTTCTGTAGGAGGCAAAATAGATCTAGGATTTTTTCATTAGTCGGAAGATGCTGGTTAATTTATATTCATATTTGTAGGTAATTTTGTACTTAAATATTTAGTGTGAGTTTTACGTGACTATTGCATAATATATTCAACAAACAAGGACAATTATTTTTTTTTAGCCTTCTATGCATGATTTTCAAGTGGTAGTCTTAACATAACGCTGGTTGATTCAATAGGTAGTGAATAAGGAAATTAGTATTTATATTTTAACTCCAGATTTTGGCTTACAGCATCATTTTGCATTTTCACTTTTGACTCGGTCCACCAGCTAATTTCTTTTGATTACTGGACAGATTGACTATTGACAGATTGTCTTCAAATGAAAGTAAAGAAAAGCTTTAAAATAATTGTATTTAATTTTTCTGATGACTCCTCCTGGGAAGGCATTCATGTTGATGTGGTGAAGTTTAATACTGAATAATAATGGTTCAATAAATTCTGATTCTAAATATACCTCATGTTCAAAGTACCTACTGTAAAGGTACATCTTGAATGATATGTAAGTGTTGTGCATAAATTATGTACCTTTTGCAGCGTTTGTGTTCAGAGCAACCGGTTTAAATACTTAGTGTATGGAATATTGTTCTATTTATTAAAAAAATTATTTCTAATAATAGGGAAAGTATACTGCAAGGCCCAGGGAGCCCCAAAAGGTCTTTCTGTTTGACTTCGATCAATAGGGCGTCTTAATCTGATGTCAACTATTTTCGCTTTCTGTTTGTGTAAACCAGAAAATTCCTGTTAATTAATAGAACATATTTCACCTGTGAAGACAAAGTCCGTAAAACGAGCCTCTTGACTTGTGGCTGCAGTTATTCCCCTGTCGTAGCCTATTATTTCCAGGAGAGGGCAGCATTTTCCTATAGCAGGTACCCGAAGGCACATGCCCTGCTTAGACTGTCAATGTTTCTTGTAATTACTCCCAGTATATTTGTTGCTTGCTTATGAATTAACTTGCATTTATGGAACTAAATCATTCCAATCATTTAATTACACCTGAGGAGCTGAACTATAATTGCTTGCTTCCAACTAGGATCTGATATGGCTTGAGCAGTATTAATTTGGTGTTTACTTTTCTGAGTGCTAAAAGCATTAAAATGATTGTGCAATGGGATTACATTTTACTAATTGCTGGCATTCATTAGCTGGGTAAATGGCGAGGAAGAATGACTGTATATTGTGGAGGGATAAAATTATGGTTTTAAATAGTATATTACTAGGCACATTAAGGCCCTAAGACATGTTTTAAAATACTCCAGAGGTTATTAAATACCGTATTTTCTTCATGTCTTGCTATATGAATATCTTATTAAAATACTGCAATTATTATGAACCTTTTTGTGCAATATGTAGGGAAATGGCTTCATTGACAGAAACCTATTTCTTGATATTAATAACCTTCTATATTTTCAGCTAATCCAAAAGTAAATGAGGAACTTAGGAAAAGATTGCCAACTCCAAATCAACACAGTTACACAGAATTGAAAAAGAAGCGTACAGCTTCATTGGAGGGACTCTTGTAAGGAGCTCAGTGTGCTGCGATATGAGGTGAAGTTGTTATTGTTTGTTAAGACCTAAGCACATCAAATCATACACATTTTTTTTATCCTGCACGTTTATAGGTAACAACAAATACAAGCTAAATATGTATTTCTTTGAATGCTTAATGTAAATGCTAGTGTTGATTCTTAAGTGTTTGCAGTTATATGTTTTTGTAATCTCAACTATAAAAATGAAAACAGCTGCCTTTTAGGTGTTGTATAGGAAAATAATTTCTTCTGCTGACTTATTAGTTAGAACATATGCCGTGATATAATATGCTCAAATTTTAAAATAAGTACTTTTTAAATTTTTTTTTTAACTCTTACATTCATCAGCATAATGACAACTCTCTGAATATTTTCATCATCCAGCCACTGCCTCTTTAAGGCACGTGTTGTATCTTTTCAATAAATATAAAAAAAAATACCGCAGAGAAACATACAAAATATGCACTATTATGTATTTAAAGATGAAAAATTGTCCTTTGTACAATACATTTTAAAAGAAGTGCCTGAGTAAGTAATAAAATTTGTGGTAAGCTTACTGTATTAGCAAGATTACAAATTTATTTAGACTTCTTTCACATATAGAATATAATTCATTTTTTAACATATTGAAAAGCATATATTTTAGCACTCAAAGTGTTACCTGGTAAGCATACCATTTTACTGTAGGTCTTATTTTTAAGTATTGAGAGTTGTTTCTAGAAGATCTTTGATTATATGAAATACTGCAACTGTGTGGTTAACTCTATAGTCTGAAGTAATATGTATGCAAATATTAGGATGGATTATTTAGCTGTTTAGAAAAACCTGCAAATTCAGAGTTGGAGTGATCGTGGGCCACTTTACTTGTATTTTATGCAGCAAATTAAAGCAGGAGAAAGACTGTTGTAAAGTAAAGCCCATACCACCATCTGTAATAATTACCAAAGTGAGCAGGCTCATTGCCTCTAGCGGGACCACTCAGTGTGATTTGGGCTGTGCTCAATAGCATGTACTTCCAAGACCAGACTCTAGAACAAGAAGATAAGCTAATAAATTTTTCAACAAAGGCGTTGCACTCAACAGAAAGCTGAACCAGACCATTGTAAGAACTAGATGTGTGAAGAAAAAATATTTTACTGGGAAATGTAATTTAGCACTGATTATTAAAGCACACAGATTTTATTGTTCTATAACTTTATTGTTATAAATATTTTTAAATCATTGTAAATTTTCTGTCAAATGAAGGGAAAGTATAGGAGTGTTATAATATATTGTTTCAAGTTTATTTATCTAGAGTTTGCTTTATTTTAGCTCTAAAATCTTCAAGCAAAAACTGGAGTCAGTGCCAGATCAAACAAGTTCAGAAGAACAAATGGAGAACTGGTCAAAAGGTAAGGACTTTTAAGTTATTAATAAGGAACCTCAGGTGTTGTACCAGTGCTAGGCAGTGACTGGAATGCATTTGTTCTTGCCGATACATGACTGATTTTGGCAGAAAAGAAAAAGAAAGAAACCAAACAAAACCTAAAACCGCACACTCACTCTTAAAAGTATTTGGGGTAACAGGAGAGCAGCTACAGGAATGTAAATAATCAGCTTTATTTTTATTTTCTGAGTTATTGGAAATGTTTTTGTATAACTTTGAGAAGTCTTATTTAAATTCTTAGTCTGTACCTTGCCGTTTACTTTCCAATGTTTTTTTCTTAATGGGTTATCAACAAATCTGAAGTCTGTCTTAAAGTAACTTTCTTGGCTATTCGTGCCTAGCTAGAGTATGATTGAGCTATCTCCTAATATTAATGAGTTTCTTGCTATTACCTCAACTGAATATAAACAGTAAGGTAGGCTTGGAGGTAAAGGGAGCCTTGGTTAACTTGGAACTTCTATGGTTGGTGGAGTTTGCATCTCCAGGTTGGAAGGATCTTTTTGTGTTTGGATGACCAAAATTTTTCTCTCATATAAATTGCTCTACGTTTCATGCCTGATAGCTATTGCTTACTTGGTCCACCCTGGGCACTGCCCACAGTTTTGAAGATAAGATCTAGCCATAATGCATAGAGTTGGTCAGGAAAGTCTAATTTCCTTAAAAGCTAAATCTCCTGGGCAAAAATTTCTAATTCTATAGGACTGAAAAAGAAGAATGTGTCTGGGAAAAAAATTAAAAAAAAAAAAAAAAAAAGGGTGATGGTGAGGGGAGGTGGTATTATGTGACTGACTGACTTTCCGGAAGAGATTTGTCAGAAAGTGGCTTGTGACTAGCTAATAATGTGTAGATTGAAAAAAAGGAAAGTAGGAGGAAGGAAACCTTCAGTACATCATAAAAGGATAGATTTTTTTTTTTTTCCAGTAAGTGGCTATGTGTGTAGGTTAAAAAAAAAAAAAAAAGGTGTGTCTACATCGAAGATGCTTCCTGTGTCAGAGCCTGATAGCATCTTGTGTATTTCTTTTTTTTTAACTTTTATACTATGTATTCTTTCTCAAAAGATAATAAATGTCAAGTTTCTCCTGAAGAGTCTGTTGTTTAGGAGAAAGAAGAAATACTCCGTCTTGGAGATGATGCATTTCTTACATATGCAAAGGAATTTCTATCTAGATTACTGTGTAAAATAAACTACTTGTAAACCCTTTTTAGTTCATGGAATTTTGAGCTATTACTGAGTGAAGTGAAAAATGTTTTTGAACCATATACTCTGAAACCAAAAATATTCATGGGGGAGTAGCTTAGTGGAGAATTGTATTCTGACCATTTGTATTTTAAATGTGTAACAGCTTAATCAGATCTAGTATTTTTAGACCTTTAGGGGTCAGCATACCCTAAGAATGGTTCAAAAGGTTAACTTTCCAAAGTAGGCAAGTGAATACCATAAATGGATTCTCTGTGAAATATTTTCTGTCTAATTGCAAGAAATGGCATTCTTCTGCTGCTCACAGATACTTTAAAAACTGCGGAGTTCTGAGTTTCATATTTATTATTTTTCTGATGCATTATGTTAATATTTTGTGCTGGTTTGAAACTTTTTTTTCCAAGCTAACACTTACATATTTGTGTATCCAATAGAAGTTGTTATATATGCAAAAGTAAAATTGATAACCTCTTTTTTAGATCTTTCATTGGTAAGTCACATAATTCTTCATGCTTTTACTCCTAGAGAAGTTAAAAAAAGGGATCATGGATAAATCTCATGTCGTCATACCGGTTTGGCTGAGGAATTTTATTTTTCTTAGAATTCTATCTGGGATTAGCAACTAAATTACATTTTCTTATCATAAAGATAATAGATCAATTACAGCAACAAAATGTTCAATATGTATCCTTGATAGACCTTCTGGAGCGTTTTCTTAGTCAACTACTAAATCAAACTAAGTTTTCATGAAATTTTCTTTGTGTCCCCCTTGCTTTGACATCTGTGGTATCTTCTCATTTTGTGCCTGGTTGTTTCTTGTTTATAACTTGGAAGTTTAAAAGCTGTTTTTTGAATAATGATTTATTCAAATATTATTTTTTTAATAACATACTGAAATGTTGAAGATTAAATTATTCATCAAAAAATAAGGATGGTAAAGCATGTCTGAGATGCAAATTCAGCTGACCAGATGAAAATTCTGTCAAGCAATGAGAATTTAAAAAATAAAAAAAAAAAAAGGCAAAAATGTTAGGTACAGAAAAGTGGTAGGTTTTTGGTGGTTATGCAGAATAATGTGTAACCTGTTAATAGATGTTATAAAATAAAATACTTGAAAGAGGGGTACTCTTTAAGAAGCATATATCTGAAGTGTTTGGTAGTTGAGATTTTCTTTCTAATTTTCCGTGTTGTTTGGAATATAATATGCCTGTGTGGGTTGAAGACATTTGTTTGTATCTGTTCTGGTATATTAGTTAAAGAACAATCTGTGTGCAAGGCTTATTATTTTGGGTTTGTATCTAATTTAAAAATTTAAATGTATTGGTTATCTCCAGTTTTTAATAGGAGGATAGTGACTTTTTCATTTCTCTCTAAGAATACTCAAGAAAATGTCTCAGGAGCATTGGCAGCAGGCCAGTGAAGACTGTGTGATTTCCAAATGAGAACTATTCAGGATCCAAGCTAAAAAGCCTAGGATGGTAGTCCATTATAAAAATAAACTTATGTTGGCAAATAGACGCATATCTTTGCATTGCTGTGGCGGGAGGGAGAAGCGCATTGCACCTAGGTGGAGTTGTTACTTTAGCAGGGTTTACATGCTTGACGAGAAAACTGCACAAACACACTGTGAAAACAGAAGAGGGAACCTGAAATTGGGCGCTTTTCATACTTGCATATACAGTCAGGACTTGATATGTCAATTTTCCAAAAGAGTTAGCAGGGTAGGAAAGTGGTGAGTGTGCAAATGCTGGAGTTAAATTTGTGTCTCATTTGACTCATATCATGTACTGTGTTTGAATGGGTGCAGCTATACTTGTTCTGTGTTATGCAGTCTTTTACTATTGTAGTGTTTCTGTTTAGGTCACATTTCTGAGCATCTATTATTTTTAAGGACAGGGCAGAAATTAGATGAAGTCTTGGAATATCAAGTACTGATTAGTCTGTTTTGACAACAAAATTATAATTTTGCTGACTCCAAAATAAAAAGCATTGTATAATTTTTATTTGGAATTTCCTAAAACAAGGTAATAGATTGATTATTTTTAATGGCAAAGTAGTTTGCTTCCTTCAGAAGTGGTTGTTATATTTCTTAGGCATAGAAATATATATATATTTCTAAACCTCTACTTAAAGCATATATTGAAAAGTAAGTCAAAGAGCTAATTTCACCTGTAAGAATTTGATGTCAACTCCTAGTTATGATTCATATAGACACTTTCACTGTAAATTGTTACCCTTCAAAGAATGTTTGTGAGGCTTGTAAATATAATTTAAAATTGCATGTCTGGAAACTGTAATTCAGAGGAGACTCTGGTTTTAAAGAAATGTGATAATGCAGATTGGGACAGAATTGCAGAATCAGCTTGTGCAGGGAAATTTGAAAAGTGTTTTATCTGATGGTAAGCTGCTGTTTTCCAGTCTTACTTCCTTCAGGAAAAATAGAAGAGGAAAACAGATATGCAAACAAGTGTACAAGTTATGTGTGTATATATAGTGGCTCAGACACATGTGCATGTGATAAGCTTACACAGAGACAATTGGCTTAATTGTATTGTGTGTTTGTGCGTACATTGGTCTTGCATGAATGCATGGTGCTTACTGTAAAGAATCTCGCTGTAGCTGGTCTTGTATTGTCATAGTCATTATGTGTATATGCCAGGATATTGCTTTCAAAATATTTTTAAGTTCTTTTGCTGCATAGTGAATAATATTCAGGAAATAAAACCTCTCTAGAAATCTTTTTGCATTGATTTACTCCCATTAATTAAATCAATTTCATCATCATCCATTCCTTTTGCATTCATGGTAATTAAGGCAATGCACAGTCACATACATATATGCATATTCATGTAAGTAAAATGAGTCATCTTTTTTTGCTAAGTTCCTAGAAATGAAACTCCTGTTCCTTACGACATATTGCTAGACTACCTTATTAGAAGTAATATGGTTTTCTAGCTGTATAATGATTTCAATGTACTTTTTGGAGGTCTGGTTTTGCAACAGTAATTACAATGACTTTTTGTCTGGAATTACTATTATATGACTTTAACACACACACACAGAAAGATGAAGGGGTAAAGAATGCTTTGAGCATAATGTGGTGTTGTAAAAAATTTTTATCTGATGCTCTAGTGGGGTCAAAAAGTAACTCATTGTAAAGGTGCTGTTTCCCCTTTCTCCAGAATACACCCCTTATAGCTGTAAACACTCTAAAGTAAATCTGAAGCCTTTCTTCCAAGGCTGTAGTAGAGGCAGAATAAACCATACTTGTCATATTGAAGTCTGTTTCTTCTGTTACACGCCTCAAACGGAGATACTGGAAGCCTATTCTTCCTCTCCTTCCCTCTTTTAGCAATAAGGAATGCTGTCTACTTGGGAAGGAAAGAAGACCTGGATATTGTATGGGTGTGTATGCAAAAGAATCGACATGAGAGGCTGAGTCCTCTTCACGCACGTGGCACAATTGATTAGTGTCTTCCATGTGTGCTGTGTTTTCAGCATCAAACTCGCTGTGTGCGAGCTGCTGTAAGAGATCCCCTTGCAAAGTGGCAAGGGTAGTTGCTGGTTTCTTGGCACAGTATAGGAGGCAGAAGAGAGGTTGAGAGGTTGATCTAACATGAATCAAACATGGAAAGAGCGGCTAGTAACTGTTGAGCTACACTAAGTATGGAAGATGAAGAAAACATCTTGTCATGGCGCACCATTGTTTCTGTATTTACAAGATAAAAAGGACCTAATGATAACTGAAAAATCATCAAATGCTGTCT